AACCCGTGGCCTTGGTGTTATCAGCACCACACTCTCCCGAGTGAGCCATGGGCTGGCCCTTGACATGAAGAACTTTCATTCTTTTTTTTTGTCTTTTTTCGTGACCAGTAACGGGATCGCAACCCTCGGTGTCGCGCCCGCACCGCGCTCAACCAGTGAGCGGACTGGTCTCTATATGGGATCCGAACCCTCGGTGGGAGCGCCGCGCCACCGGGCCGGCCCAACTTTCATTCTTTTTACCTCTACATTAGTGTTCTTTGGTATTGTTACTCCAAGAGTTTATTTCCCTATTGATGGGCATATATTACCAATTTTTCTGCTACAACAAAAAAGAGCTGCAATATATTCATGCCTTGTTTGGATAGGATTAATAGGCTGCATAAACCTCTTTATTCATGCCTTGTTTGGATAGGATTAATAGGCTGCATATAGCTGAAACCCGACTTTTTAAAGAGTGGCCGAAACAAGATAGAAGGCTTTGTCGTATTTGATTCTTCTTTGACAGAAGTAGGTGGAAACTAAGCATCTAGGGCTGGTTTGGTGGCTCCTCAGTCATCTGGTACCTAGCCTCTTTCTCATCCTGCTCCATCATATTGGCCTGTGGCTTTCATCCTCAAGGTCACCACAAGTTCTAGGATGGCTATGGGAGCCCCAGCCATCAAGATGACATTCAACCAGAGGAAGAAGAAAGAAAGGAAGGCCAACTGGAAGCACGCTTTTCTATGGAGCCAACTTCTTTTAAGCAGCCTACTTAGGTTTGCACGACACACTTTCTGTTTACATCTTATTGGCTGAAACCTAGCCCTCCAAGGGAGGCTGGGCAATTGTCTTCTAGTTGTTTACTGTCATCTCAAATAAAATTGGGATTCTGTTATCAAGGGAAAAGAATATAGTGGAGATGGATTAGGCAACTAGCTAGCAATGTCTGCCTTCCTTCTTTGGACCAATTGGTCCTTAGGACCAATGCAGTTTAAATTCTCTCCCACAGTAGTGGTGGTTGATATTCTACATATTTATGCATGCATCTATATGTAAACATGCTATGCTATCTCCTGTTGACATTGAGCAGAAATAACTCATAATAAAAAGGTTTTTTTTTTTTTTTCTTTTCATTTCTGAAATCATAAGGGAAATGTCATAAGCTTTCTCCCCAGAGCACATTGCCCCACCCAGTGGCTTGGAGCCGTGTCCTGGTGCAGTCATGCTAAAAAAACATGCACAGCTGTGGCTGATCATGTGCTGTGTTGGGAGGGGTCACCCTGGTAATTCATTTTGCCAGCTGCCAAGTTAAGGTGCAAAAGTGCTGGGATTCTTGGCCCACAGTATCTACTTATAGAGAATAAAAGTCATCGAGTGTTTTACAGAAATTGTTGGGATTGTATAAAAAGTTCCAGGGCTGCTGACTTTCATCAAAGGAGGGAATCAATTCAGTTTATAATCCACTGATGTAAAAACATCTGGATGAATTGCTTTTTCAACATTTTGATATTTGAAACATTTTGGTATTTGGAACTTGATTCAATTCAACTCTGGAGGAATTTATTTACTAAGGACCTACTGTTAACCAAGAACCAGGTGAGGCACTGACGCAAAGAATAATATAACAAGATCCTTGATCTTGGGGCTTTAGGGCTAGCAGAGGAGATAAACAGTATGCAGTAAATTTAATGCAAATTACAGGAGGTCAGGGATGATGTGATGATGATAATAATATCCCCATTTTAAATAAGAGGAAACCCTGGTTTTGGAATTACGTAATTGCCTGAGGTCACATAGCTAGTACAGCAGCAGAGCAAGAATCTGAGCCCAGGTGTACTGGACAGCGAGGTCCAGTCTTCCTTCGTGTCTTTCTTCCACCCTAGCAACATCTAGGTTAATCAGTGAGGCACACAGAATAATTAAACTGAGAGCCGTCTGGAAAATGGATTGAAAAGAGTCTTAGGTTAGCTGTTTAGCTCACTTGGTTAGAGCATGGTGCTGATAATA